CAGCACAAATAAAATGTGATAAAAATATTTGCAACTTGTATCACAGATAAAACACGGTATCTGTAACATATGTAAATTTATCTTAAAAACTAACAGTTGAAAATAGCAGAAGTAGGGCCTATGAAAATTCTGTTTCTATGTGAAGTAAGAATTGTGACACCGTTTTCAGAACCAGCTTTTCTAACACTGGACATTCACAGGCAGTTGCAACAATGTGGGAAGCATAGGTTTAAAGAAAGAAAGGAAAGCAGGGAAGGGGAGGGAAGAGGAGGAAAGCAGAAGAGAGGGGAGGGGAAGGAAAGGCAGGAAGAACCTAATGGTGATAAGAACCAAGCTCTGTGGCTGGTCAACTCGCCCCATTTCCTGTCTGCTCGTCCAGAAGCATGCAACCTTGGGAAACCACCAGCCACATTTCTGCTGCCCTGCTGAGGGGTTTGGGGGGGTGCACACTGAGCCCCAGCTCATCCCCAAGCTTGCTTCCCAAATAAGCCCCAACTTGAAAGCCGCGTGCATTGGACCCATCTCGGAGGTCGACGCTGAGGAAAGTCTGCTCCTTGGATCAGGGATACAGAGAGCAGGTCTTTTGCTAAAAATAATTAAGGGCAAGTATTTAACATTGCGGCTGCCAGAGATTACTTCTATTTAGTTCCAAAGTACAAAAGAGATTTAATAACATTCTTTGTATTAATAACATTCCTCCCAACATAGTTAGCAAAATTAGATTGTTTTCAGAGGATGGAGAAATTTATAAAATGGGTAATTTAGTTCAGGAGCAGGATAATCCAAGTAGGACATAATTAGGATTTGTTACAAGTTTCTAAAGTGAAATACAAAGCTGAAATACTAAGGAACTAAACTGTTGAAAAAGGCAAACAACTGGGATCCATTTAAAATTTCTTATGAACTTGAAGTTTCTTTATTGCGATAAAAATTGTAAGCTTATAGAAGAGGATTCAGTTAGATTTTTGCACATAATCCTTACCCAGGAAGTATGGACTTTCATACATTTTAACTCATGTGAATTAGCAACAATGAGAAAACACAAGTTCTTTGGGAAGTAGGAGGTGAGTTACTGTTATTATGGTTTTTTACTGCTCCTGACATTTATCCAGGTGCCCCTGCTACTTCCAGGTGGGAATCCTGAGACCTTCAAAGCTAAGTGACATCTCCCTCTCCACCTCTTACGGCAGGTCCCTGACCACTGTTACCATTCACAGGATTGGGACCTTCGATGAACGGCACAGTCTCTACTTCGGGACAGTTCTCAGGACCATATTCTTTTTCCTTCCATCCTGGCTTTGACTCAAAGCATCAGTTTGACCCTTTCCTTTGCACTTTTTGTGCTAAGGTCTGCAACCGTTTTATTTATCTGCAGTTCAGAAAGCAACATCCCCACCCCCCAAAGAATCAGTATATGGACTACCTCCAAAGAATCAGTATATGGACTTCCTTAGGTAAATCCTAGGAACCAGCAGCAGTCACTCAAGGGCAGATGACAAGGACTTTTGTCTTTATTGCAGTTAAGCACTATTTCCTCATACGGTGTGGGAGCCTTCTTTTATACCTTTGAGTAGAGTGGCATTCCCTGCATAGCCACAGGATCACCTGGCTCTGTGACAATCAATAAACATCTATCTTGACTTTTCACATAGGAAAAAAGGAATTTAAAGTTTTGTGGTTCTTTGGGCTTTTCTCAAATTTGGTTGAGTGATTTACATTTAGATTTTAAAACATCCATTCGTCTTACTAAATTTGGACTTGATCATTTATATACATATAAAAAATGTCTTTCTTGTAAGATTTGACATGTCTCATATGGCATTTAAAATGTTCAGGCTTTCAGCATTATTTGGTGATATGCAGGTATCTTAAGTAATTTTTACTGATCATATTATTGTGTGTGAAACTCTTAGAGGGTGGCGGAGTGGGGGGGAGATACAGACAGAGACAGATTTATATTGGGTTGTTTTTTACAATTCAAAACATGGAATACACTGCAGCATTCAACCATGACAGACCACGAAACAAGTTCTTTAATCGATATTAATGAACTGAAATCATATGAACAATGCACTGTGACCAAAGTAAAATCAATGAAAATCAGTTTTTAAAAAAGATAGGCTAAGAAGTCAGAGATGTATGAAAATGAAACACTACATTTCTAAGAAATTTATAGGTAAAAGAAATCCCAATGAAAATTAGGAAGTATCTTTAACTGAGTGATCACAAAGATACCATATTTCAAAACTTACAACACAGCTAATGCAGGGATCACAAACTGCTATGTATTAGAAAAGGCATAAAGTCAAGCATTTACAGTTCTATTTCAAGAAACAGAGTCGGGGCTGGGGATTTAGCTCAGCGGCATAAGCACCTGCCTTGCAGGCAGGCAGTCGTGAGTTCGATCCCGAGTACCGATAAAAAGGAAAAAAGACCAAAAAAAAAAAAAAAAAAAAAAAAAAAAAAAGAAACAGAGTCAAAGAAATAGAGTCCAGAAAAGAAGTCAAAACTCAAACATTAAAATCAATAAAGTTTTAAAAAACGAGCACGGAAATGGGTGGATTTAAAAACAAATACATGCAGAATGTTAAGATGTCAAAAGTTGGCTTTGAAAAGAATGGTATCAATTAACCTCCACCAAGAGTGATCAAGAATGAAAGAAATAAACCAGAAGTGAAAAAATGTATGTCATTGTAGATCTTAACAAACACTAAACATGATTAGTTAGATGAAATGGAAAAATTCATAGAAAAAACAGAACAAAACTGATGAACAATCAGAAGTGATAAACTGAGTAGTTCCATAGGTTTGAAAGAAAATGAATGTATAATTTACAAATCTTTAGCTGGCTGGCTTCCTGGGTACAGTCTTCCAAAATACTCGGAAAGAATTCATAAATGTTTTTCAGCTGGTGCAAAAGGAGATCCATTCCTAACTTTTTTAAAAAAATGAAAGCAGTATCACCTTAAATATGACGATAACTTTTTGAAAATAAGTTTCTGGATATTAACACCTTTGAGATTTAGAGAAATCTCTTCACTGAAAAGGAAGTTAGTGTAACTACAAACTGACCACTGTTCAAGAGATGAGCTACTATGTATTTCTCAAAATCACAAATCATTTGTTTGTATTTTTGAGACAGGGTCTTGCTATGCAGTCCAGGGTGGCCTTGAGATCACTTCATAGCCCAACCTGGTCTCAAACTCACAATGATTCTCCTGCCTCAGCCTCCTGAGTGCTGCAGTTAGAGATGTGCACCACATTTGGCCTTTCTTGCACAGCAGCAGCTCATTTCTTCCAGAACAATCTGCTCAGGGTGCAGGGAAGCTTTCTTCTCACTGATGCCCCTCCCACCAGGCCACATGGGCACCATGGGAGGCTACCACTGTTCCCTAAGAAGCCTCTGGCTGCGGGCTCCTGCGGGCACCAGGGCCAGTCTCACGGCTGCTTTGGGTTTAACAAAGCATGAGGCAGACTTCCCTGAAATTAATCCTGGCAGCCCAAAATTTAAATCAATACCTGTAAAGTGTGAACAGTTAGAACAACAGTGAGATGTAGGAGGGTAAAACATCATTCTGAAAATGCTCTCACATCATTACCTTTTGGAATCATGATGATGATAAGACAAAAGGGCTAGAATCGTGTGGCGTGAGTCCTGGGGCATGGGGTGCCCGGTATCTGGGCCCCTTCTGGGGAATGGGGGGCAGGGGTACCTCTGTGACTGCCCCTGGGTGAATTGTGTTTGTATTCATCAGCAACACTTACTCTGCACACAACTGCTTAGAAGCAACAATGATAATGAAATGATTTCTGCTGAGTCTCAGACCTCACAAAGAATTTCTCCACTTCTGCTAATTGTTACACTCAAAATAATCAGCAGGATCATCAGAGACAGTGTCTTCATACATTTATGAGTAGCTAAATCCTAGAAACGGCCTATGTCCCTACTGAGAGATAAGTGGACAAAGAAAATGTGGTATTATACACCACAGAGCACCACCCGCCATAAAGAAAGGTGAACTCGAGTCATTTCCAGGAAAATGGATGCAGGTTGAGACCTGAATGTTAAGTGAAACAAATCAGATGCTTAGATATTACAGGGCTTCTCTTATTTGAGAAACCCGAAGTATAAATAAGAGCAAAATAAAAAAGATAATAGGAAGGGGGAAGACAGATTGTTCTCATAGGGGAAGGGGGTTTGGAGATGGCTGGCAGGGGAGGAAGGGGAAGAAAAAAGCTGAGATGTGTTTTGTGTTCGTACTAGCTCCCCACAATAACCGCAAACGTGATGCACTGCACACATGGGCCAGTAAGAAACTACAGTAGACTATTTTTTCTTATTTAGAAGTTTATCTTTCTTTTTTTTTTTTTCATCATCTCCACAGAGCTACCTAAGCCTTACTTTTACCAAGGCTTTGCTTTCTTTTCTCTGCATGTGGAATCCATAAAAAGGGCTGAGTGTTCTTCAGAGCTACAGATACCAGATTGGGGATTAAGTCGGGCATCTACGCATGTGACTAGGGAAAGGTTAGATTTCAAGACCCTTTATAACAAGCACTGAAGCAGTAACAGCACATTCCTGTGTGTTCTGCACACACTGCACTCACTCTGATGCCATCTTCCTTTTCACACTCAGGGATCTCACGATCCTTCTTCTTCTGCCAGAAACACACCCAGCAGACAGTGTTTCACACTTCTCAGTTTTTCACTGGGTCTTTGTCCAATGTCTCAAGCACCTACATTCTGCTACATGTGGCTGCCTGCCTTGATCTAGTAGACCGAGTGACGCTAGGGGTCCCATCACTGGGTACTGTTTGGTGCACCAACGCCCCTATCAAAAGCACTCCAGAGACCCTGTCTTCTCATGTAAAGCAAGGACAGAGGAGGCGGCGCTGCAGAAAGCAAAGGTCTCCGGAGCCTCTCAGGCGACCGCTTCCACCACCTACTAGCAAAGCTGCCAAGGAACCGAGGCGGGGAAGGCGCCACGCGCCTGTACTCACAGGTCTCCATGCACAAGGCCGTAGATCTGTGGCATGCTCTGGTGGTGCACCCCTCTCAGGACCACAATGAGGACGATCACCGCGAGGGCCGGCAGCCCCCAGCCCAGCAGGAGAAGCAGCAGGTGCCGCCGCTCCGCGTGTTCGTCATTCATCACCAGCACGTACCAGAAGTTCACCGCCTGGGGAGAGGAGACACACAGACCGCACATGGCACCGGGCGCCCACTCAGCTGGCTTAGGAACCTTCTGTTTGCCTTAATTTCCTCCAACTGAAGCTCAGTCATACACTCTGTGATTCTTCTGGAAGATCTGCGTTTGGGGAAATGGGCACTGATGTTCAAATCTTTGCATAAGAACAACTTCATGACGATGAGAATGAGGGGAAGAGCCTAGGTTCTCCGGGGTTTTAATAACTTTTATTGATCTCAGGCCAGGCTAGACACTGTTCCCATGAAAGGGAATGTGACTGGAGGGGACCCCCATCTCGGTCCCTGGGGGAGGAAAAGAGGACCACATATGAAACCACTGCCCAGGCTGGAGAGGCTTTGAGGTCTGTTTTGCTTTCTCCATTCACGCTCACCTTTTTTGCTTATTCAGCTGACAAATAAATATTTATTGAGTGCTTACTGAATTTCAGAGAGCAGCCAGCCACTGAGGATACAGCAGTGAAAGGGATGGGAGAGTATTTACCATTCCGAGGCTCAGATCCCAAACAAACAGGCCACAGACACTTGGGGTGATATTTATTTTATGTTTCTATAACATTATTGTACCTGCTATTCTTAATAAGACATAAATATACAGGGGGCCAATATGTAGAGCGTGAGGGAGCTGCAGAGACAGATGACACAGAAAAAGGAAAGGGAGACCTGGGAGGGTTTCTACTAGCCCCAGATCCTGCACCCAGGCAAATGCAAAAGTGTTTTCATTCTGTAAGAAATGCTTCATTTAATTGTCATCTATACAGCAATGCCATTGAGTGTTGTACTGGACATTTTCCACACAGTAATCATTGCTACCTATTCACTAGGTGAGCCTCCTTCCCAATTTAACATGAAAGAGGGGGAGGGAAAGTGAATTTTACATATAAGAGAAGGAACGTTTCCAGAACTCAGTGTCCTGGTGCACGAGGTGACAGCAGAAACTGCATGAAGCTTTACATGGAAAGTGCTGAACACACATGCAGTCACCCCTGGAAATTGTGACCACTGCCCTTAAATCTCCTATTGGGATCTGACAAAGGAGAAAGAGTTTAAGACCAAAAGTAAAAACAGATACAGCAGAAAAATCTTTCTGTGTGAAAAATAAGTATGCTTGATGCTTGTGGTAAGGCTTTTAGGTGCTGTTTACTGGGGTTCCTGGGTAAGATTCTATCCGATTGGATCAGCCTTGGGGAACTGGCATAAGGCTAAATGAGGGAAGGATAAAAACGTTTGGTTCCTTGGAGATTTTTGTTTCTGAATTCAATTTGCTGTCAGCACTCTATCTTTATGTATATCTGCTTATATGTAATTATAAAGCGTGTTTTGAATTGTTGCTTATCTAAATTTGTTCTAACTTCTTTATAAATGAGACCGTCATGTTTACACAGCAATGTCACACTGACACACACGCACAGTAGATGACCCGTGTGCTAATCCAATGCTGGCACTCACAAGGCCAGCTGACGGTGTCACCGAGGGGCACTCACTTCGTGCCAACAGGCATGGCTTACTGTGCTCACCACTGTCTCCCACTTCTCCTGCTAAGGACTAAATGTGAACTGAACATGTTAACATCTAGGTCTCTATATTTCTATGTCTACGCTTTAAAGATGTTATGAGCTTTCCCAAGATCAGCTGACATTACTAGGTAGTCGTATTACATTTTTAGTCAAAGTGTTATAAACTCAAGCAGGTATCAGCTGTGTGAATCCAAGTGGACTGTTTCTACAGTTTACACACACGCAGCACACCGACAGCATCAGGACTATGCAAACTGGTGTAGTCTCTGAGACAAGTCTGGGAAGACTGAAACATATGTTCATCATCATGAACCACCAAAGTAGTCACTTTGAAAGGGACAGCAAAAAGGACATTTTGCAGTGGCCTTAGTAGTTACATACTGAATGTGAACTCCAAACAATGGGTAATTGAACTACCCCTTATTTTAATTCTTGCTTATCAGTAGAGGGTGGTTTACTTTCCATATCTACCACCATCACCAGCGTATCAGATTACCTGGGTCACTATACTTAGGAGACCTTAAGAAGTAGCCAAGTAGTAAGTGTTAATAGTCAATTAATAAGTGTTAATAAAATTATGTAATATTTTTGAAAATTTCCCATCACAAGCAGAATCTACAGAAATACACAGCAAAGAGTTTGAACAGCTTCCCCCATAAGCCACCAGCTCAATAATGGGAATAATTTTCTTAACTTACAGAAATTGGGAAAGACATGGTGAATCACAAATCTGATCTGGGTTTCTGACATGCCTCTGCATGGAGATGCTCTATGTTTTTTGTCAACACCATCCATCACCTCTGGGTTTCAATTTCCTTCTTTGATAAAAGGAAAAGTTAAACTGGAAGTCATCAACATTTCCTGTCACTCTGATTGAGTTATGGTAGAAATAACAATTGCTTAAATAAAAATACTAATTGCATGGTTACACGGGCCACAGGTTTCAGTGGCAGCCGACCTCCGCAGTCACCTGACCACGCCGTCTTATTTCCAGATGAGCACACGGAGGTGGGGAGAGAAAAGCACTGGCTTTTCAAATAGGTATAGAACTGGGAGTGGGACACGGTGCCATGCACCCTGTGAACACTGCTCACATTTAGGATTAATGTCCCGGGAATGCGTGCAAGCATTGATGATCTTACCACAGCAGCGAGCTGCCTTTTTTGTCCTCGTTTGCTTTCCTCACTGTGTATGAGATTAAAGTGCATTTTCCTGTAGAAGTCTCTCTGCCCTGTTCATTCTGTGCTAATATGTAATGAAGACTGATAAAATTTCATCAAACTATAAATGGCTTGAAACAACTGAGTTGCAGGAGATTGATTTTTCATATACAATATGAAAAATTGAATTCTGTACTATTTCATGGGGTGCTTTGCATACAATCTCTATTGAGAGATAATCAAATGGAGGAAGTTGTACACAGTTCGTTCTGAGTACTTAGCGTATCTATTTTGTGCTCCAGGAGCATTTTCAGGAACTACTGTGTTCCAAGTGCCTATGTAACAAAATCAAAGGCATAATTTGTTAAATGTTTTGGCCACAAATCATAATTTTGCTTTCATATGTTCCCTGAAATCATTTATTAGCTTGGTCATGTATCATTAACAAAATTCATTAACTTATCTATATATCCTCATATCATGTACATTAACATATTAGTAAAAAATAAAGGAAAATGCTGCTTTTTCAGGTTAAATTAGGCTCTCTGGACTCATGTGACGTGGGATGAAGATTAGGATGCCGCCTACTGTTTAATCTTTGGTTAGTAATTGTCTTACTGGACGCTCTGAACTGGCGTAGCATATCTGGTTTAGTCAGAGGTCAGCAACGCTATTAATCCTGTCCACTGCCGTATGTTCTCAATCCTTCGTTTCAAGGACAGCCTCAGAAATGTCACCACACGTCCTTGCCCCAGTTCTCCTTTCTTAACCTTCACTGTGTGAAATAAACCATAAAGCCTTTGGAGGGTTGCAGAATTCAGTATTTCTTGGGTATGTCATTATCGCGGTAGTAACTCCCAGACTGTTGTCCTTAATACTTTTGATGTCTCCTCAAATTAAATCAAGGACAAAGGAAAAACAGGACTAATTTTAGCAGTTCCCTTCCCATAGCTATGCACTGGTGCTAAGCAGCCTTTCTAGCAAGGAAAAAATAGAAAGTTTCTTCATAGCCTGATTATGGAGAGAAGTTAGGGCATAAAGTGAATAAATACTCAAGTACAACTGTGACATTTCTGTTTATCCCTACTGTATATGAATATCTCAGATAATTTACTTGCAATTTACTTTCCTTCTTAACTAATTCATGATCTGGCAATCCAATTAGGAGCATGTTCCATGTAAATATTAATAGTGAAGGCATATTTCCCAGGAACTTATTCAATGTATACTCTCTAAGTAAACAAACATTCAGCCTACAAGAATGTTCAAGGAAACAGTGTTTACAATAGCAAAAAAATAACTAGCAATAATTAGAATTTTATCGGTCAGAGACCAGAAAAGTAAATCATAGGATAATCATATAACAGCACAGAAAAAAGCACAGCTGTACATGATGAACTTAAAGACGTCCAAATTTATATACTATGTTATATATATATATATATACACACACACATGCAAGGACACCGTGTGCGCTTGTGGATGTATTTATAAATATTTCTCTATTCGCGGAATGTTTCTGGAGGGATACACAGGAAGCCATCTGAAATGTGCATCCTCAGCCGGGGTTGAGGAGAGCAGCAGAGAATGTGTACGTGAAATAGCGAGAAGGATGTTCTTTTCATTTTATATTGCTCTGCTGTTCATGTTTTGTGCCACTAATCTATGTTATCTCTACAATTACAGCAAAACAGACAAAGGGAGCGGTAGTTAAACAACCAGCAAAATAATGATGTTGCTGAACTTTAAATTCTCGCCATCAATCATTCTCAAAGTAAACATGAAGGAAGTGGGAAGCAATTTCAGTAATGCCATCGAGGGATTTTACATGAACAGCAAACGGAAGGGTAACGGAATACCCACAGCCCAAAAGGGGATCTGTGAGTTGTTTACTTGAAAACAAAATCAGCCAAGTGCATTGCTGGTATAGTCCTGGACACGGCATGACTTCCCTGTCACAGGAAGGGCAGCCCTTAAGAAACAGGGTCGAGGCCACCAGCTGCAGGGCCTGCTATGAGCCATGCACATCCCTTAGAGACATTAGAGATTATCCAGTTTGCTATGGCTTCACAGTTAGTTAGTACTGCCTGACTCAAAGTTAGTACCCTTTCCACTCCGTTGAACTGGTTCTCTTTTGTAATAAAGGCATAGATTATACCACGAAAGTAGAATACTAAGACATGCTTGAAAATGTGGTGTTTTGGCCATACATACTATCTTCACAAGTCATAGGAGTGTGTATATATATATATATATACATACATACAGCTAGACTGTATGTGTGCAAACTGTGCCACATACCATGCCAGTTTCTTCCACTGTGTTAATTTATCTTCCCACAATTCTCAAATGTGGATTCTGTTATTTCAACCTGATTTGACAGATGAGAGAACTCGTATTCTGAAGGTCACGTAACCTATTTAACCCCACATTTTTCTTTAGGTCTTCTAAAATATCCATCTTTACTTATTTAAATGATTAATTCTAAGATTGAAGAGATGATATGCGCAAAAATAAACAATAATTCTTATATGTCTAGCTCAGTGATTAAAAATGAAGGCGTAATTACACCATCACTGTCAACTATGCATGTATACACAGTACCAAATTCTCTCCTAAACTGCTGAAATCTATGACATAGAATCATTAAAGTGCTACCAACAACTTTTTCCATAATGTTTTAGAAATTCAAGTTAAAAAAAGATTTTAGCACGCAGCATTTTATAATGGGAAAGTATAGGTTGGTAAAGCAACAACCTCTGACCACAAAATAACTTATGAAAGTGACCTATCCAGAATTCAGAAGTTATTGAATTTTTCCCTGGTGGCTATACCACAAACCATGAAAAATGTGTGGTGTACCATCTGAAATACGTTAAGCTTTGCTGGCACTTTAAGTAGTTTTCCTAAACATTAGTCATACAGAAACCTGATTAATTCACTAACTGTGTGTCAGCCACAATCGAATTTACTAAAGTAGAAGGGCTCTTGGGACTCCATGAAGCTCGGTGAAATCTTATATGGCCTCTTATTCAGTGTTCCCCCAAAGCAGGAAATTCAGTTAGAACATGTGAACGCTGGTTGTTTCTGTTTGGATATATTTCAGGGATTGGATTCGCTCTATCTCTACAGTCTCTGTGAACGCTGACAGCTCTTTGGCTACAAATTCTTAACCTGAATCAAAATTTGCTTTCTTTGGTTTTGACCATTTTGTTCTGGTCCTGCCAAACAGGTCTATCTTGTCTACCTTTCTCTCCTGTCACAGCACTTTCGGATAGGACAGGAAGGTGGCCTCTGTTCCTCCAAATCCCATGCAGGCTAGGCATGGCCAGTGGCCCCACCACACTCTCTAGGACTACAGCCTGGTGTTTACACCACTAGCAGGGCTGCCTCTGTCCTGTTCCTCACACAGATGAGGTCTGCCTGGTCCTGCTCACACGTACAAGTATGAGTGCGCTACTGTTAGATTAAAGTTTGGAGCCACTCACATTGGGTTTCCTCGGCCCCAGCATTCAAGGCAGCAGGATGGCTTCTGTAATCTTGATGCAAGAGGGCCCCATCCTGATCGGCCTTGCAGCCCTCGGCCCTGTCACCTCCCACATCTGTTACGTGGTGTCTTGTGTTTTCATGCAGCATTAATCAAAACCACTGAATAGGTCAGGGGCACAGACAGAGACCTTCAGCACAGCAGGGGGACCTCAGTCCACACAGATAAGCAGCCATGTGGGCATAGATGAAGAAAGTCCAGCTTAGATAAACTCCTGAAGAATCTGCAACCGGGAAAGCTAGGAAGTGCCCAAGTGTCACAGTGCTGGCATACAGCTAAGTTTTATGTGATAGGGGTTAGATTTCCTTTTGAAAAAACGATTTTTTTTTTTTTTTTTTTTTGTGGCAGAGAAGAGTGTTAGAGAATCTTGCATGGTTTCCATAATTAGGGCTGCTGAAGAGCTAAGAAACACTCATTCTGTGAGTTAGGAATTACCCCAGGAGGAGATTTAGAGACAAACACTGGAGAGAGTTAATACTTTGATTAAGGTTAAGCCTTTGCAGATGGGCAGAGTCAGGATTCAAACCCAGGCCTCACACTCCCAACTGTCCTAATTAATTCCGTGAACTCAATCACAGTACTCTTCTCCTTCCGCCCACCCTTCTGATTTCCTGTGTGGGGAAACACCGTGGTCTGTGGCTGGTGTTCTCCGATAATAGCACCACCTCCTTTTCTTTCCGCCTTTGCTGTGACTTCCATAGTGCTGTGCATGAAATGCTATACCTTGCTTATTCAACAACAAAAGAGAACAGGCAAGAGATGGGACACGCTGTACAACAATGTTTCCCCAGTGTTCCGAGAGACACATGTGAGACTATCTCAACCACCAAGTGACCTGCGGGCAGCATCACAGCTGAGCCCTTTAACAAACAACATTAGCCCCACGGTGACCCCATCACCTGGCCTCTTTGTCAAGCAAATCAGCACAGGAGAAGGGAGGGCATTTGAGGTCTCAGTTCCAACAGGAGGGTGCAGGCTGCTTGCGGCCATATGAAGTGAGTTTGCCTGGACACCTTCATTCTCACAATATGCTCTTTCCTCAAGTGATTTTTTTCAAAGCAACGACATTTCTGACACTCAACTTTTTAACACATCTCTCTCTCAGCCAGACCTTACAGAAGGGCAGGCCCCTGCTCCCAAAGATGCCGAGGAAGGTCTCCTAGGGACCTCACCCTCGGCATGTCCCAAACTAGACTGTCTCCCCGCCACTCTCCCTGCACCACTGTCCGCCCACGTCCATGCCAGAAACTCTGGGGGCAACCCGGTGCTGCCTGCTGCATTCCTCACAATCAATCTCTCTGTCTTCATTAACTCTTAAAAAGCCCAAAGCCCTCTGCTTCTCTGTTTTCACGTTGACTTCTCTCTTCACACTAACACTTTTCCTTCCAAATACAGCAAATGCTCCTGGTTCTCTCTTTCCTATCTCCAAGTCACCAAAGCAGGAACATCTTTTAAAACTCCAAATCTGTATTGCACCACTCCTTTAATTCAACTAATTCCATTACTTTCCCTAGGAAAATGTTTGAATTTCTGTTCTTTGTTTTTTTGGGGGGTATTTTTGGTACGAGGGATTGAACTCATGACCTCATGCTTGCCTCGCAGGCACCATGCCACTGAGCTAAATCCCCAGCCCAGTATGTGCATTTCTCACCCCGCCTTTTAAGGACCATGATGCACCTGCTGATCTGCAGTCCTACTAGGGAGCTCCTCCTTTCACAAACCCACCATGCTCCCTCACACTGCGTGGTCTGTCGGGATCTCTTGTATCCTGGGAATGCAGTGAGGGCAACATAGAACTATCTCCACTTTAGCATAAAGAAGAACAAATACCAAGACCACTCCCCCCGGGGGAGCCAGGTACCAACCTGGACGAGCATCCAGCTGAACTGGCAGAGATACAGGTAGTGTGTGATGGCAGCGACGGCGGAACAGCCCTCCTCGGAGAGCCGGGGGCTCGCATATGCAGACACCAGGAACGCAATCTGGAAGAAACAGACACACGTGTTTGTGTGTTTGCGAGGCACACTAACGGTAAGGAAGGACCCTGAAGAGATGAACTGCCTTCTCATCTGGATCTAGGATCAAATGATTCCAAGAAGTAAGTTGATTACGCTGCGCAAACTCATAGGACTAAGAGTCATCGTGGAAACGGTGACAGACAGGCTTTGGTACTTCTAAGAAGCAGTGAGAGATACAACTTCACGCTGCGTCCTCTCTGGGCTCACAGAGGAAATCATTTCAGGAGATCCCATGGAAGGTCACTGGTGTTAGCTAAGTGCAGAGAGGGAGTGGAGTGGAAGCACCATTCTCTAAGTCAAGGCAGAGCAGAGCAGAGCGAGGAGCGGGCTTTCCAGCAGCACCATCACTCGCAGTCTCCTGCCCCGAAGTAACACGCACAACAAACAGACTCCGAAGCAGTGTGCAGTGTCTGAGCCTGGGGCTGCTTCATCTTTGGATTGTGATTTCAACCACATCGGGCCTCTGGAATCACCTTCACCACAAGGGCTCTGTGACCCTGAGATCTCCACCTGTGCTCCCTGTTCTTTCTTTACGGTGGAGCCCCAACTGTTCCTTAAAACAGTGCTCACCATGTTTGGTTCCTGTTAATCTTGCCCAGTAGGATGCACCCCATGAAAGGCAGCATCCTGTCTGCTTTACCCACGGGTACCCCAGCACCTGCTAGGTGCTCAGAAAATGCTCTTTGAATAAATGAACAAAGGAAGGCCAACGCTCCTCGTGACTTCTATCTACCGTTTGTTATTCTCTCTAATATCTGACTACTATGTCAAACTCCACCAGGCACAGGAAGTTTGGAGCAATGAAACAGTACTGTAACATCTCAGTGGATGAACTTTCTATTAAGCAAAAGGATTAAGCTTTCTGCTTTACATTTTTAAAGGCTACAACTACTCCTCAAATATAGAGGTGGTTAGGACTGGCACAGTGGCGTGCAACTGTAATCCCAGCACTTGGGAGGCTGAGGCAGGGGGATTGCTGTGAGTTTGAGGTCAGCCTGGGCTACAAAGTGAGTTCAAGGCCAGGCTGAACTACATTGTGAAACCCTGTCTCAGAAAGACCATAAAACACCAAACAACAACAACAATAAACCAGAAACATATATATATATATATATATATATATATATATATATATATGGTCAACTGCTAGAAAAAGATAAATGGTTGATTCCAAAAAGACAGAAATATTTCTGTGCATGAAGAAAACTGGTTGATTTATGCCTCAAAATCCCTCCACTTTTCCCAAGAAAGCAGTTTGGATTTCCATCAGAAAGTGAATAATGTATAAAAAGCTAGTCGTAACAGTGAGACAGAGTGATCAGTTTCCAGATGCACTGTGCCCTCTACAGAGCTCCAAGCCCAGCAGTGTGGCCACAGACCTGCTCTGAAGACCTCTGTCCAGGGCTGTTACCCAGCGCTTGGCACTCTGACTGCTCCGCTTCCCAGCACATGATTGACTAACTGATCACGGAGCACCCCCTCCTGAGAACGAGTTATCTGAGGGTCTGACCAAGTCCTTTGCCTTTTCTGACCCTCATTCCCTCATCAGTAGCAGAAGAATACTGGATGAGGAAACTTGAGTCTTTTATCGTTTTAAGACTCTAGAAATTTTCTCCTAGGAAGCATTCTTGATTTAACTCTCTGTTACTGAGACCAGAATTTGGATCATTTACAACGCATCATATTAAAATGGCTAAGTGCCAACATTTTAAATGGAAACTAGAAACTTGTTTTATTATTCTCATCCTGGAATGAATGTGCTCCTTGAAGAAAATAACAGTAAATTCACCTTTCTACAACACATCACGAAGCAATTTTTGAATTACTAGAACTTATTTTTAAAACATCCTTAGATTTTCCTGGACTTTAGCTTCTAAATTATAAGACAGTACAGGTGGTAAATTAGCTTTTCTAAATTCCACATTCACTGACTATTTTACACACTGACTATTTTACTTTCTGACCGAAAGTAATCACTTTAACATTTATAGTCTTTCCCTTTACAGAGCGGCATTTATTTCCCTAAAATCTTTATACACGTGAGCTGATTTCAGGTTCTAATGCTATGAATCGTGTTGACGTTTACTTGGCAGTTGGTTTTATTTAACTGACCTACCCAGTTTGCTTTGTAAAATAACAGTATAATGCAAATTATAGTGGAACGCGTTTTAAGCTATGTAACTACTTTGAAATGGCATGCTACTTTAAATCATAAATCTTCTCCACTCTTTTTTTGAAATAATCAATACAGGCTTTTGCTTAAACTATATTCATTTTCAGTTTAAACTGAAAGTTTTGTTTAAAATACAGTTTCACTTAAACTTTATTTTAAAATACATTTTTACCATCAAAATTCCATTTTTAAGGTATGATTTTTGGGGAGTGAAAGGGCTTGAACTTGCAACCTCACATTTATCAGGCAGGTGCTTATGCCTCTGAGCTAAATCCTTGGCCCCTAGATATGATTTTTAAAAAAATTCTGTTCTAGTCTCCCTTTCTGAACCATAGGAAACCAGCTGCGGCCCTGTCAACCCGGAACACCGTGCCTCCTGCTCTGCGGAGCGTGGGGAACCCTCCAGCCCGCAGGCGAGGATGGCAATGAGCCAGAGGTGGCTGAGCTGCCAGGAAGCTGTCACGGGGGACTAAGAGGACCTGGAACCCCAAACTAAGTTAATGTAAACTATGATAAAGTTAAAAGAAGCCAACATCTTCCAGCACGTTACCTCACACTTCTTTAAGACCGCAGCATCTAGGAATGGAGAGTGTCTCAGTGTTGTTCTTCTTAAACACTAGAGCAGACCAGGAAACAGCCGGTCTGCTGAGAACAGTACACTGAATAGCAGAGCAGAGAAAAGGAAAGGTTCTCAGTCTTCTGTACACTGATTCGTTCAGCAGCCCCTCTGGACCTACCCCATGCGGGTGGCCTTGTGCCAGGAGAAGTGGCAGAGAGCGCTGTGTATGTGTGTGTGAGACCCACATACTAACAATGTAAAAATTATCATTATTTTCATCCTGAATTAAAAAGTCATAAGGAAGAGACCGACTGTGTAATGAACATGTTTAACAGCCATTAAGGAAGTTTTTAAGATAAATGAGGATTCAAATTCTAGTGCCCTCATTTGTAAGAGCAGCATTCTTTCTGGAAACCATCCTGTAAAGCAAAATCCAGAGAGAGTCCTGAAACTCAAGTCTGCTGCTTCTCAACCCTTGTGAGTCAGTGGCTTGTGAGGGGTTCAGGATGGTGACAGAATATGATACTGATAGCATACAGAATTATTCTTAATTCCATAATGATATACCATATGTATATCTTCACCACAGAGAAAAGAAAAACAAACATTTCCCTTAGAAGAGTATTTTATAGATTCTCTCTTTTCAGTGGCTGCAAAATTCTCCCCATCTTCTGGTTGATTAGAGCTCTCCTCTGCCAATCCACGGAAGACATCTAGCGCAGTCACATGCCTCTCTGCCTGCTCCCAAACAGTGACATCCTAAGTACTGTTTTACAAATCAGTCTCAGTTTTCTCCGAAGTCCTTAACAAATAAGCTCCCTCTCCCACCTTATTATGGACACGGGCACTCTTCTGTCCATGAGCTTATTCTTCAATGACGTCCTTCTACTCTCCATCTGATCTCAAGCCCGCTTAGTTTTTCAGGGTCAGTCCGTTATTATTAAATATACATAATGGGCCACACATCCTTTCTGGCAGGAGTCTAGCTAATGCCTAGGCTTGAAAACAGATAGGGGCATGGTGCAATAAAACATGGCAAATATTAGAGAATGGTATAGACTGAAATATCAGGGAGTGGCAGCCATGCAGACCACCAGGAGAAGAAACAAGAAGCCAACCCCTCTCTGTGAGCCAGCGGCTGTCAGAGGCTGTGGGGAGGAGAACAAGAAGGAACCTTTTCCTGTGAGCTGGCTGGTGTGCGAGCTTGGAGACAAGAAGAGCTGAGCCTTCCTCCCCAACCCCGCTACTGACCCAGAGAAACATGGACTGGGATGATAGCTACTGAGGTAGAAAAAAACAACTTAATGCTTGTATTATTTTGTATTTGATTGACTTTGCAGGCCAAAAAGGCTGGTGGTCTGAGCATCTGTTTGGAGGATAACAATATGCAATATAGCAATTATGGGGGATTTCCTTCTGAAGTTGGTAGCCATTGTTGATTTCCTATTATCTTGTTCTGAAGTCCTGTATTGGGGAGAACAGTTCCTTGGAATGAATTTTATTCAATAATATTGCTCTACTAAGATAATCAGAAATATTTTTCTATTTTAGTTTACTAAAATAGACAAGTTACACAGATTTCTGGATCTTCAATCAACCCTACATTTCTGAGATGACTACTTCTGCCTTGTGATGCACTAATCCTTTTAATTTTCTAAAATCGTATTACAAAGGTTTGCATCTTTGTTGATGAGAGACGTTATTTGACAGAGTGCCACTTTACAAAAAACAGGAACAGAGCATCCTTTATAGGATTCTTCCTCTGAATTCTGTACTATTGTTGGCAGTCATTTTATTTATGTTACAAACCTAACATCAACTGACATGCTCCCTTCCCTAGGACATGGGGCACAATCCTTTTTAATACTGCGAACTCTCATCTGTATTTAGAGCTAATTACTGTTCAAATATATTTAGATAGTAAGAAAACTTTTCTATCATTCACCCACCTATCCCATTCTGGGGTTCCTTGCTTGTTTGGATAGATTCACGTTACCTGGTATCCTTTCCTTCTGCTGGAAAGACTTCAGCATTTCCTGTAGCACGGTCTGCAGGCAGTAACGCCTCTCAGCTTGAAAACATCTTTATTTAACCACCATTTGGATGATATTTTGGTTGACATTTTTTTTCCCTTACAGTACTTAAACATGTCACTGCCATGTCTCATTTGTATTATCTTGGACATAAAATCTGCTGTAATTATTTTTTCCCCTCTGCATAAAAGATTTGCTG